TAAAAGAAACAGGAATTAACAACCAAGATCTGAAAATAATTAGAAATCTTTACTGGAATCAGACAGCAAATCTCAGAGTTGAAAGTGAACACACTGACTATGTGAAAATCATGCGTGGAGTAACGCAAGGCTGTATTTTGTCTCCTCTAATCTTCAATCTGTACTCTGAAAACGGTATTCTACTAAATGGTTACCGGCTAAACAACATCAGATATGCAGATGACACCATAGTATTTGCAGACAAGTTAGAAGACCTACAAGTTCTTATGAACAAAATCGCGTATTACAGTCAATAATATGAACTCAATATAAACGTTAAGAAGACAAAGCTTATGATAATTAGCAGGAAAGGGATATCAGAAGGTCAACTCTATGTCAAACAATCCCCTGTAGAAAGAGTGACGCACTGCAACTACCTCGGCACCATAATAAATGAAGAATGGACCAACAACCATCGGAAAAGCTAGATCCACCTTCAATCGGATAGGGGCCTTCTTCAAGAGTCACAACCTCTCTCTTGATACAAAACTAAGAATGCTGCGATGCTACGTCTTCTCTGTCCTTTTTTATGGTGTTGAATCATGGACCTTGAACGAAGATATGTGCAGGAAACTGGAAGCATTTGAGATGTGGCTATATCGGAGAATGCTTAAGATCCCATGGACTGACTGAGTCACAAATGAGGAGGCCCTCAGAAGAATGAACAAGAACCGAAAGGCACACCATCAAATCTCCAAAGTTACAGTTCTTCAGACATATTATGCGAAATGAATCCAGATATGCTCTCCTTCAAGCCATCCTACAAGGAAAAATATTTGGAAAACGAGGTCCACAAAGAAGGGCATCTTAGTTAAGAACCTCAGAATCTGATCCAATACAACATCTGTGCAGCTTTCCGCGCTGCTGCAAATACGATAAAGATTGCCATGATGATCGCCAACATTCGTAACGGATAGGCACATCAAGAAGAAGATATCAATTACATTCAGATTTATTGCATCCTGGGATTACTCGTATATCATATTATAAAAATTCGAAATTTACCTTGTTCTATAGATGAAATTAAACAAGTAATTACCTCTTGTCCAATCTGTGCCAAAATTAAACCTAGATTTTATAAGAAAGAAGATGATAAACATTTAATCAAATCAACAGCTCTGTTCGAAAGATTGAACATTGACTTTAAAGGTCCAATACACAGTTCTTCTAGAAATTTCTATATGCCTACAATCATTGACGAATTTTCAAGAACAGTAATTGAATGTTTGAATCAACTATTTTTTTATAATTTTATAATTAAATTTAAATTAAATTAATTTTGGCATATATACATTCTGACAGGGGAACTAGCTTTACTTCACAAGAATTTATTAATTATTTACACTCTAAATGAATATCTTCATTGGTTATTTTTTACGTGTTTGGTTCATACACTGGTATATTTGAGTTCAAATCCCAATATGAATTTCCTTTTTTATTTTTGAAATATTTAAAAAACCCACGTTAATCTTATTAAATATATATTGTAATATACCCAAAAATGCTAAATTTTAAAATAAAATGAAAATTTACAACATAATCTGAGTTGTTGGTTTTTTGTAAGTAAGTGTTTGTGTGTAAGTGTAAAAGAGAGACAGAAGATATATTTTCTCTCTCTTTCTCTCTCGAGAATAAAATATATTTAATATATAAATATATTTAATATTTATTAATACTATTATTTTTTTATTAATATTATTATCATGGTAATATCATAATATCATTATATTGAATTATGTTGCAGTGTATTGTATTGTATTTTTATATTAATAACAAAATAAACAATGAATTTTACTGCAGAATATGTGTAAAAAAAATTTTGCATTCAACTCCTTTTATTATGAAACTAAAAATACATATTTTCATTAAAATATTAATTCAATCCTTCATTTACTATACTCCTATTACAGGTCAAACGTTTATATACAGCAAACGATGCACCATATACCTATATATCTAAATCTTTTTCTCTTTCTGCTCTCTCTTACCTATAACATTACATATGTAATGATTGTGCTTTTTGACTCCCATATAAATTTGGAACGGCGAACGCGTGTATAGAAGTATAACTTCTACCGCGTTTTTTTTTTCTCATAAAATGTCTAAGGCTTGACAATATAAAAACCCATGAAGAGAGAGTATTGCTTGACAAGATTGCTCCCATTAGAAGTATTTACTCTCAGTTAAACAATAATTCCCTCGCAAATTATTCGCTCGGCGAATTCACAACCATTAATCAACAACTTTTAAATTTTAGGGTAGATGCTCTTTTCGACAGTATCTACCAAACCAGACGGCACAATATGGTCTTAAGTTTTTCGCTATATGTGATTCCAAGACATTTCATACCTTACAATTTGAGCCTTATATTGGAAAGCAGCCAGATGGACCTTTTCTAGTTGAATATAAGGCCATTGATATTGTGCAGCATTTGTGTAGTACACTCTTCGGTTTAGGAAGAAATACCACAACAGACAACTGGTATTCCAGCATACCATTAGCAGAAAAATTACTGTGTCACAAATTATTATTAGTGGGTACACTCAGGAAAAACAAGAAAGGGATACCACCATGCTTTGTCACTAATAAGGTTTCTGGACAATCTCTATTCAGATTCAACCAAAAAATACCAATGACTCTCATTTCATACTGCTCAAAGCAAAATAAAAATGTATTCTTATTGTCAATTATGAACATAAATGACAATACTGTGGTTGTAGTTCCTCCAAATGTGAATAAGCCTGACATATTATTAATATTTTATAATAAGACCAAAAGTGGGGTTAATAGTGTAGACCAAAAATGCCAGATATATAATGTGTCACGAACTTCTCTTCATTGGCCCTTGAGGATATTTTATCACATGCTAAATTCAGCTGCAATTAATTCCCACATCATTTATTACTCTAATAATCCTACTAAAAAAATTCCCAGATTGAAGTTTCTAGAAGAAATTGGATTTACTCTGGTGCAACCACAGATGGAAGTTAGGTCACAGGTAAAATCTCTTCTAAACTCTCTGAAAAGAGTTCTAGGTCAGCCTACAAGAATGTAGAGCATAAAATAATTTTTAATAATTTTAAACTGTTTGTCGTTGTGTTCTATTTTCTTTACTTTTTAGTTTGTTTACTATTAATATTGGCTATTATTACGTGAGCTTGGTTGTATAGTAATTTCCAGCCACTTTTAGTCTGTCAAAAAGTAACTTCGCAAAAAAATAATTACTAAATTCACTAGACAGTTCGGACTGGGAATAGCGAACAATATATAATATAATTACTATTCTTTGTTTCAAGTTAAGAAAATAACATTACGCTTATGAAGATCAGTGTTGCCAAAACTCTCAGACACTCTCTTTGCACGGATGTCCAAGATATTCCCTTTGCTTAATTTTTGAATTTTCATATTCAATTAACATTTAACTGGAAAGTCATAATAACTACTAAATAAAAGCCTTATTATCATTATGTAGTCAGAGAATGACATAAAATAGCTGACATATGCACATCGTATTATTTTAAGTTGCAATTAGTAATTAGATATATGCATTCCAAGCAGTCAATATTTTCTACTGATTTCTATGATTCATGGCATATCGTATTCTCACCGAAAAACAAATAAACTGTCGTTACTATAATTAAAATAAGATAAAATAAAATTATCTTTTGTAAATACTATTTATCTAATTAAAATCATTTTCCCTACTTTTCATCTCTTGTTTCGAATGGGCACTTTTGGTCAATTACGTTAAAAAACATTAATTTAATTCATGTTTGTGGAAACGAAAATACAAATTATACAACCCTAAATTGTGCTTGTGTGTGTCGTGGCAACGCCGCGTTGCTATCGTCCATAAGAAATACATGGCCCTATCTCCGCAATGTTTTCTAAACATGGAACGTAGTATAGTTAAGTTTTTGTTTATTCCACATTGATTTAGATATAATCCTTCCATAAAGAAAAGGAAAATAAGAAGCAGCAAAAGCATCCTTAGGTCTAGTTTTATTTTAATTATTGTAAAATTGTATTAATTATTTGCCAAAATTTAAATGAATCATGTGGCACAATGAAGAAACTATGAGCATTTTCGATGTATATGGGATGAGTAATGGTTTGAATACCTATATATCTTCCTAAATATCCATTCCACTTCTAGTCTATGAGGTGTTTATATTTATATAAATTAAACACTTATTTCTTTTAGGAAAAATGTCAGCTAGATATGAAAGATGGGCCAATAGCCATAAAAAAAAATTAAATTTGTGTTGGTGAAGGTCTAAAAATCATGTAAAATTAATATATTTAATCTATTACTATGAATTATCACTTAACATCAATTATGAAACAGATACATATATGGATCTCTACTATATGGATCCATAAAGTTAGCAAAAGCATTAATATAATTTCAGAAAAATAATATTTAAGATTATGACCCTATGATATATGAAGATTATGTTCAAAGTATTTATAGTTGCTGTCAGTAACAATAACCTGTAGGATAACATTGTGATTTAATCCTTAAAATATTCAATTCAATCAAAATTCAATTTTTAATAATTTACTCATAATAATTAGTAAATTAATAATTTCATCTTGATTCAAAAAAATGTTTAAATTGTAGGTTCTAAATATATTTGCATCTAAATATTTACTCATGGAGACTAACCAGACTATAATTATTAAAATCGATGGTCCAAAGAGTTATAATGATGTATATAATCATTAGAATTACATAATAAATGTCTCGTGCGTATGGAAACAGTTTAAAAATTATCACATTAAATATCATAGCTTATCTTTCATTAGCAAAAAAATCTGCTATGCTAAGATTACTCCAAATAAATTAACAACAATGATTTTTGTTTGTATATTGATTATCACTGTGATATAATTAAAAACAACTAACAACAAATTTATTTTGAAAATTTTGCAGTGTTAAATTTTCTTGACTTACCCACCTCTTGACAATTTACTTTCTTAAACAAGTTGAATTTGTCCATTACAGTCCAAACTATTAAACACTCCTTAAAAATTTAATTTCAAATTTAATACACGGAAACAGAAATTAGCGAATCTTGTTTTTTTAATTTTATTATTTGAATCATTACACACACCATGCGACTGTGGTTAGGCGGGTGGAGGCGGCATTGACGTGCG